ATCATGTTTACAAATGAGAAAAAACCCTGGTCCCCCAAAAAAAACAAAATGAAAAATGACACACAATTTTCACTCAGATTACAAATTCTGACAAACGTCCACAAACTGTCCTTGTGATCAGCTCAAATTGAGGGACATGTATGAAATTATGAATGTGAGCAGAGATGTAACAGAGATGATCAACATCGGTTAGTTGCTTGTCGTATGATGAGTGGACAATCAACCCACACTCAAGCATGCATGCGCCGATATGCCAATGGTATTTTTCTATGACCACTCTTCTCCCCCCGCCATATCTCACTCTGCCCAAATACGCTGTATTTGAGTGTTTACACAACTGGGATTTGGGATTTGTAATCAGGAAACCATGAATAAAGGATGACATATAATTATATTTCGCCCCGTCTGATCAAGTTCAGCGCCGCGCCGCCCGGGACGAAGTGCTTTGAGATGAAGTGCGTCTCGTCACTCTCACTTGTGTCACACCTAACCGGATGACTGAAGCCATGCGCTGCTCAATGGAGCCTGCTGTGTTAGGAGCCGCTTGTCAGTTCACACACTGGGAAAAAATCGCCCGGCATACTAATAACCACTGCCAAATGAAGCCACAACCAAAAACCTTAAAAATGTTTGATATGAAGCAATCATCACATTGTTATCAATGGTAATAATATGCTAGGCTTGCATTCAACTCCTTGAATCTCCAACTCGAATCTGATTTCCCAGGTTCATCTTCAAGCCCCAAGTCGATGCATCAGTAATGTCCCAATGCACAGGTCATTTATTGTCCCAAATCTATGGTGCCTTTCTTCAACACCAAACATGTGGAAACATATCATGAATCCTTCCAGAAGCATTCTTGTACACGTGTACATGTACATACAGTATACGTGTACCATACAAGGTAGAGATCTGGATTCCTCAATGTGCAATTTAGAGTCAACATACATGTATAAATCAGGACAGATATGGGAAATGCAAGAAATTATGGGTCCATTTTTGTTCACGTCCCTGTCACATCTGACATATGACTTTGTAAGTTCAGAACACATTTTCTAATTTCCAAGAGTGATGATTTGATGCAAATTACATGTACCCGGTACCTGCCAACAAACAGTGATAGTTTGAAAACAATTCCGATGATATTCCCATGTCAAATAACAAAGGTTAGATGTAACAGGGACACCAAAATGGCACACTTTTGGACCCCTAATTTCAGTAATTACCTACAGTGTATATGTATTTCATGAGATAAAATTTATTGCTTTAAATTTTTGACCCTAGCAGATACTGTACATTCTAAACGGCATTTTTAAAAAAATGTAATTTCTGTTTTTCTAATTCCCATTTTCTGTCAAATGTATCCTTAAGTATCAGGAACCTTGCAGTTCTTATTAAGTTTTTTGGATAGGGTAGGTAAAAAGGAAATAAAATACTCATACCGTAGTGGATTTGATATGTGATTGTGCAATTACTAGAATGTTGCTGCTTTGGTTTAAAAAAAAATTAAACTTTGACAAAATGTCTTGGCAGAGCCCCACCCCATCCAAGATACACTGCTCAGACCTAGAAATTGTCCCCCTTGGATGCTTATGTGGACCACCCTTTTGGTTGCAGATACATATTGAAATCTGCTATTCTTTCCAATCTCAGGCACCAAGATAGCACTGTGCTGGTCCTGATTTGCTTGATTTACATGTACAATCCCATGAAAAGGAACTGTGAGAGGGTGTGTTTCTGGAACATTTTCTGGAGGGGGAAGGGGAAATCAAGAGTGTCCCAGAAATGTTGGTTGTATTTTAATAGCAGCGGACTCCCACAAAGTCAAAGGATTCATTGCTTACTAAACAGCCTGTGTACCAAGTTTGAATACGAATACAAACTTGTGACGAAAGTTCTGGTATTTGCTGTGTGATTTTTGTCAACAGTTGAACACATGCTGGCACAGTAGAAGCAGAGACCTCTTAACACCATCGCAAGACAAACACAAGACCTCCAGTCTTGATTTTTCAGGTCCAGCAAATATTGCCGGTGTTTATTATTACATATAGCCTCAGTGGGTGACAGGCAAGAACAGTCTGATTTCTCTATTAACTACATTATGTATGTTAGGGTGAAGGTCATGTCCAAATTACAGCCCAAAATCACACATTACCCTTTGGATACAATGTAATTGCTGCAGCCACTGCCATAGACTCACGTATGATTTTAAGCCAAAGCCAAGTAATTAGGACTAAGGCTGAGAAGAATTATATGTACAGAACAGTAGTCTATGGCCTCAAATCTCTGTTAGACTTACTGAACGTGGACCTTTGGTCTCCTGCGTTGCCTCCATGTGGGGTGCTCATCATGAACGCCTTCGTGGATCTTGTGAGCATGCTGGTTGGACTCCATCAGCAGGACAATGCAGATGAATAACAAGACGCCCAGTAGACAGACCAAATAGAAAGTGCGCATCACAACACCCATGGTGCAAGTGGACGTCAGCAAGCCCTGGAAAGACAAGGCAAGACAGTGGCAACATAAGATGATGCGGCTCCAGGGGCCAATTTCATAGAGCTGCTTCAGTACAAAATTTGCTTAACCAGAAAAAACCTTACTTGATAAATCAGGTAACCAGCCAAAATTCCATGTGATGTATATTGTTTTGGGATTGTATTGAGCTGTTTTTTGATTAGCATGACAACCAGATAGAGTTTGAGCAAGTAACCTTTGTTTATTAAGCAAAGTTTTTTCCCGCTTAAGCAAATTTTGTTCTTAAGCAGCTCTATGAAATTGGCCCCATGTGTGGCAATACAGAGCTATGTGTCCATGCACTAGCACATCTTGACTCTGCATGCAGACGATAAGCATACTTTTACTATCTCCTTGACTGAAGAACAACTCAAATCATTGAAGACAGGTGTACGCATGGTCAATCATGCCTTGTGCATTTCCCACACACATCTGTAAATTTATACTTGGAGAAGTGACAGACAGAAATGTGTTGCTATGTTTACCTTCATGTATGCTTGCTTAGATATTCAATGCATACTGTGTTTATTATCTAACTTGACAGTGAAACATGCGTTGAATTTTTTAAAAGCAGAGAATACACATTGCAAAAAAAGCAAAGATACTTAAAATATGCCCATTGAAAAGCTTGCTCTTTTGGACATGGGTTCTTATCAATAAACAACATACAGCAAAACAAAGACAATTTGTCAAAAACGCACCGAAACTATCACTCAACATGTGTCAACATGTGTACATGTATCAAGTTGCACAAAATACACATCACATTAGGCTTGGTTGAGGGATGGTGGGGCCTGGGGGCACACCCCCATGAAAAACTGTCACTTTCCCCCCCCCATCCTACTTGATTGGATATTTGAAAAACAAAGAAAATAACAGAATTTTTAAAGGAAATACTGGGACATGTTCCTCCCGTAAAATCCAACTCCTTCACTCCCCCCTCCCCACAGTGAGAACCATGGCAACAGCGCTGGTGGTTTGCTTTTAATATCAACATTCTACCTCCTCTTCTACTGTAAATCAGTTTAATACAACAAATATGGCTCTGTCACAGAGACAGACATTCAAAGATTTATAGCCAGTCCCTTAATCTCATGGAAACAAAGATTATGTTTGTTTCATTTACAAACACTAAGTGACTGAGTGAAGCATTTGGGGGTTTTGGGGAAGAAACGTCTAAGTGCAGCTTTTATGTTGGACATGCTAGAGGACGGAACATGACTAACCGTAATTAAAAGTCAAAACGAAAAGAACATACTTTACTCAATTTTGCACATACTTTTTTAGTTTGATAATGTTGAATATAGAATCAAGTTGGTGCCATTATTTGTGAAAAATATCTCCTATGTATAGTGAATGATGCCTTGTTTTTGTTTTTAATTAGCTGGGAGAGTGTTAAAATCTTAAACGAGTCATCAAAGGTGTCCAATTGACATACATGTACATGTACTCATGATTCATTCCAACTGAATGAGTGCAACAAGATCAAGGACAGCAGTTTTTGGGGGATGCTAATTTCTGATCCTCTACAAACTCTTACAGATCTTGAATGCAGGTGCCAATCCCAAATGAAAACCACTTTTCTGTGTATAAATTTATGCATGTTTATGCAAGACAGTGAGACTGTGTAATTGGTTGTGTGGTTCTTTTCATGCAATTCAATCAGCGATGTGACTTTCATTTGTAGTCTGTCATCTAATATTATCATCAACTTATCTTCATATTTTGCAACATAACAGTAGTTAATACCAAAGAATTATTTACAAAAAAAAAATACATGTTCTATTTTACACTGCCGGCTGTTGAAGTTCAAGTTGCAATTTGGGATCTTTTGTACTGTCAGCAGATCACAAGGAGTTGGGCAGTTTCCGTTGTCCAGAAAAGTTTACCATAACAGACAAAATAGGCGATGCTTCAGGTGTCAGTAAATGAATCGAGAAAATTGGACACCTTCAAAGAAAAAGAAAAAGTACAAAATATTCATTTGATCACTAAATGCTGTTAACCAAAGGCTACAAAAGATGTTGCAAACATCCTATGTTGTATTTTATGCTACGTTTGGAAAGTGGACCATTTACCTATTCATTTAATTCAATTTTTGTTCTAGTGATGTTGTGTACTGCACGTACGTGTAACTTAAGCTCCGACTAACACACAAGGAGTCTACACTAGGCTTTGAAGACTCGATTCCAATACTGGTCAACACAAGGATTTAGGTCAACTTCCTATCTGAGAAGTATGGAATGACAGATCTTTTTTGGTTTTGAACTGAAAAAAGGAACAGCATAATATGCACAGCATATCATCGTTATGAACGGACTGAACAAAAGTTATTCATACAGAAAACTATATATTTTTGGTGAAATTTATCTACAACCGGACAGAGGCTGTTTCTCTCTCTACATGTACCTGGTGCTACGGTATACGGGAATCTGAACTATCACACGAAAATGTGGGCACAACGGCAGTCCCAGGGGTCATCCTTTTCTTGGGGGGGGGTCCTTTTCATGAGCACACAAAATGTGGACCAGTAGATGTAGGGGAGGTGTTTACCACTTGTGTATGCTTTCTTTTGCTTGGAAGATCGCCAATCGTCTTTTTTTTGCTTTCAGGCAGGGAAGGAAGGGATGTTGAGAGGAAAGAGTATATTTTGTACACTTCTCTTGAGGATGACAAAAGCGGCTGACCCCTTAAAAATGGCCACACAAAGTACACAGGCATATGTGTACTGAAAGTTTGCATCGGCTAAAATTTCAACATTAAACGTGGTAACAATGCAGAATGTCAGAAATTGTCCCTCCTATAGTTTCATCAACAAAGTAACACAATATCCAATGGGAGCAAAAAGGAAACGTAATAAGAGCAAGCTTTCCCTTCACAAACCGGCCGTTGGTTACCCTACTCACTGTAAACAAGCTGTAGTACATGCATACCAACACCCACAATCAAGAACTGTGTTTTCCAAAATGGACAGTGAAGTGTTACGAAAATGTACACAAACAAAGATGAGACAGATTTTAGGACTCAATTTTTCCTACTAGTCGAGAACAAGCTAACTGCATCAAATTCCTCTATTTCTTGCATGCAGTTGCAGAAGGTGCAGGAAGCGAGGTGAAGGAAGTGAGGTGAAGGAAGCGAGGTGTTGACCGGTAACTGACAGCTTTGAGACAAAATCCATATCAATACCTGTCAGTACCAGGTTAAGAAAGCAATATTGCCTTATTGATCAGGAACAAATTTCTTGTGAGCTACAAAGTACATCAACTGATACGTAACACCATGGAGGTAGACCAAGGGCCGGCCTGTTTCACATGGATCCAGATTGCAGTCAGTGATCCAAAAGCTGGTTCCCTCTATCCATTAGGCAGGCTCTGATGTCAAGAACCAACAACAGATCACTTATCACAGTCCAGATCAATATGAAACAAACAGGTCTCCAAAACACTGATCTGTTTGTGGAATCATCTGAAATCTCAATGAATGCCATTACCTGGTGACAAAAACAATACTGTATTATTGATTAGGAAGGAATATTCTAATGAGTTGCGTGTACTGGCAATGTTACATACCAAACATTAAGCTTGGAATTTGGAATTGGTTTGAAATAATCATGGGTTATTCTTGAAATCTGGGGTTCAATTTCTTTTCTGTCTGTTACATCTGTCATACCATTCTGTAAGTTTAGAACACATACTTTAATTTCCAAGAGTATTCATGAAAATTACATGTACCTGCCAAACACCTAAAAAAATACACGTTGTTTGTAGTTGGTTCCTGTAAACGATATCCCTTGTCAAATCACACATCAGGTGTAACAGAAATTCAGAAATGACCCATGAATTGATTCCTGCCATTACCTGGTGACAACAACAATACTACATGTATATTATTGATCACAACATTCTAATGAGCTACATGTATCGGTACATGTAATGGAATCCATGTACATACCAAAACATCAATCTGTTTGGAACAATATGGCAGCTTACAGACAAATGGCTTATTCTATAAATTTGGGGCTCACTTTTTTCTTGTCCTTGTTACATCAGAACACATTCTTTACTTTCCAAGAGTGCATAAATATTCATGAAAATTACATGTACCTGCCAAACAAAACATTTATTTTTATTGACTCAACATTTATTTCCATTTTGCAATATATATCTATCAAGTTATACACAAGGTCAATAAATGAAAGATTTATGACTACAAGAGTGCAAGTTAAATAAGACAATGAGACATTGAAATAAAAGGGGGCAAATACGGAGGCATATTCAGGAGACAAAGTCTTATACAGAAATGTCTTATTAAGACAACAACAAAAAAACAGACAAGACTGACAACAGATTATACATAAAAAAAGACAATTGCAGTACAATACAGTCAAAACAAAACAAGGAAAAAACAAAACAAAGACGAACCAATAGACTGAGATGTAACAAAAATTGGAATTACCAAAGACTAGAAACGATAGAAGAACAAAAAGAAGATTAGAATCATAAAAGAGAAGAAGCTATCTCAGACAATCAGAAACTGGGTGTTTTTTTTACAGCAGTTGCTCTTCAAGCATCCCAGAGATGACTGGGACTTCATATTACCATCAATACTATTCCAAAGACGGGGTCCAGGGAATCTCAGTGTATTCAGGGAATAGGATGTGCGTGCAAAAGGCAAAACCGTTTGTGCTTTTTTATGCCGTGGCTATGCACAGAATGAACTAAGGTACAGTTTGAGGTTAGCTTGAAGTCAATTTAAATGATACATGTACACGTATACCCCTTGTCAAATCACATACATCAGTGTAACAGGGACAGAAATATGTCACAAACCAGACCCCAAATTCATAGAATGACCCACCTGCTGATACCTTGTGAAGGTACCCCAAACATTTACAGGAGCAGTGGTCCAAAGCTTCCTGGGCATCCAAATTATAGCACAGTGTTCTTATTCCTCCATACACATCTGGAAACCTAGCACCT